TTTTGGTAGCTGCTGTTGATGTCTTTTTTGTGCTTTAAATAGACAATATGCAAAGCATCCAAAGATGTAACTGGTACTAGAAAATGAATCTTATCCACTGTTTCCTTAAAGAAAAGTTGTTGACACTGTTTAGCAAAAACACTTAGTTTCTTAGATTTCACTCTGCTTCTGAATAATCTTTTTGGTGTATAGATCAAAAGGAAAGCTTTCATCGTAGATCTTGAATTGGACTTTAATCAGTGTAGGAGTTTCTTAAGCTTTAGTGCAAGACCTTTTCATTTTCCTCATGTGAAGTTTGATTAGATCATAAGCTCTTCAGAACAAATATCAGATTCTTTCAGTGTTTACTGCACTAAACAATGCAAAGCACCACAGTTTTAGCTTCAAGAAAACAAACTGTAATTGACATGTTTGTCTCAGTGCATAGAAAGATCAAAAACAGAACTATTTTTACTGCTTGACTATGTAAATTGCATCCAGACTAAACTAGCCACAGTCTCTCTAGTATATCAAGATGAATGCACAGATGTTGGATGCTCTTTTAAACATGTCACATTTTTATTGCCAGTGTTTCATATGTAAAAATATTTTGTCTTTACTTTGATTTTTAAAAAGCGGGGTGTATAAATTTGTATTCATGGCCACACATCATTATTTTAATTTTAATTTTTTAAATAAAAATAGACAGGAAAGGTATAATGAAACTTTGCTGTGCCAGAATTTTTCTAAATGATATCTCTGGAAGGAAATATGACTGCATCTTTTACATCTTCCCCTAAAGTGCAAAATTCACATTAACCGTGTATGCTGAAGCACTATGTGTCTGGAATACTTACTGCAAATGCTATCAACTGCGCATTTGAAGAACTTATCTAAAAGTTATTTGAAGCCAATAGGGATCTTTCCATTGATTTTAAAGGGCTTGGAAATAGGCCTTTAGCCTTATTTTCTGTTCATGAATCATTCAGAAGCCAGTCCTGATGTCAAGTTATTTGTAAGTATGGGACAAATAGTTTGGACAAACAATGCCTGCTCTGCAGGCTGTTTCCAAAATGATAATTTAGGCTACTCACTGTTCAATATTCATGATGTGTGATTAGTCATCTACATCATCATGATATTACTTCTACCTAATTGAAGGACTGAAACTATTTAAGCTATAGCATCTGTCTATTTATATTCTTATAATGGAGTAGTTCATTGCTGTAGTGTATGAATGAATAATGAATAACAAACATTGAACACTGAATAATGAATAGTAAATAATGTATGCATTTTGGTAAGATTTTTAAAACAAATATTCATTTCTGCTACTATCTGTGAGACTTTCAGAATTTAGAATGTTTTCACAAATCTTCAGCAGTTGCAGGAAGAACATGGAATAACAAGTATTTATGTTTACATTTTTAAAGAAAAGGAACTCATTTCTTTATATTTTAACCATTGTATTAGGTCTGTGGTTTAAGAGAAGGGAAGTTGCATTACTGATAGAAAAACTTACCAAGGCTTTTTTTTTTTGGCTTCATTGCTTTCCCTCCTCCAACAGCATTCTGGATTTACAAGAGTAATAATATGCCATATTTTCATTTTTATATTTTCTGAGTTAAATAGGAAAGGGTTCTTTGATTCAACACATGAGCTCCTATGCTAGAATGCACTGCACATTCCTCATTAGCTTGGAAGAAATACTACAAATAACATGATAAAATGAAATAGTACTTTGGATAACATTTATTTTCACTTACATTTATTTTCAGTCAATTTCATCATAAAATATGTGTATTTCTCGAGATCTCTGTCTCTTATTTGCTCAGCACTAATATCTTGTTGCTTTTTCAATTCACAGTTGCTTTTAGTGTTTGCTTTCTCTTGTTGCTTATTTCAGCATGTTTTTTGTTTGTTTGTTTTTCCTTTCTTCTTCCTCCCTCTGCCAGGTGTTTGAATCTGTTAATTATATTTTATCTCCTATTATTTTTTCAATTTTTTTTTTTCAAAACTACTTTTTTCATTTTCTTTTTCTGTCCATTTTTTTCTGTTCTCCCACTGAATTCACTCATTGTCAGTCTTTTGTGTTCTCTTTTATTTTCTCAGCAAGTTCTTTAATATCTTCAGTTAGCACTCACTTATCTGCAGGTACTCCCTTTGCGATTTTATCCTTCTCCTCATCACATTTACTTGTTATTTGACAGCCAAGCTGTCAAAAAGTTGGCAAATGATTCTGATGTAAGCAGAACTCTTTTTGCAAATCTTGTAGCACACAGTGTATTATCAAGTATGTGTTAATTCTCACAACCCTTTTCCTCCCTTTTTCTGATGCAAATCTCATTTCCCATTTGCTTATGTGATCTAATCCAGGGCTCTCATTTCCAATAAACTGTGCCTGGCATCTTCTGACTCACAGGGATGTCATTTTTTCTGCATACGTATGTCATCCACAATATAAACTCAGAAACCTCCCTCACAGATAAGTTCAAACTTGTTTGCTATTGTAATCTGACAATTAGAAAAAGAGAAATTTAGAAGAGAATAACTCAAAACTAATTCTTAAGTCCCCTCAATGGCTAACAGTGAGAAATGACTGATATGTATTTAGAGACATTTGATGTGAAATAGAATCATCTGTAAATCTTGTCCATTGTAAACAATTAAAAAATAGTTAGTAATATGACAATAACAAATTTCTTACAATTCTGCAGTCATTATATCTGAGTCTTATATTTGGATCGTGCTCTTTTAGATATTCCACATCAGAAGGATTTAATGTTTTAATACCAAATTTACTTATTTTGAGATAATTGATACTATATGAGGATTTGATTCAGTAACATGGTATAGTAATCTGCTGAAATCTCTATGCAAGCACAATATAGAAGTTATATTATACAGTTGGATCACAATGTGACTCACATTATTGGCCTCTGCATGCCCTCTGTAAAAGTGTTGGGTGTCACTAATTGCTGGTTTAAACGTGTTGAATCCAAATCAGTCCAGGTTATTTCCCTTTCTGAGACAGTCCCTGCTGTCTTGGTTTAGGACCTTGGCAATGACCTATGCAAAAAATTTGTATACACTGAATGGGATATTTTAACTATGGTAATCTGACGGTTTATGGACAGCTAGGGGAAACAGATGCATAGCAAATACTATTCATCTAACCTACTTTAGATCTCTGTTTTAAGAAGTGAATTCAGTCCTTGAAGAACCTATTATTCTCTGTAAGAGTAAATAAGATTGCTCCCTCAAATGACAGTGCCTAAAGTGAGAACCCCATCCACTTTTGCTAACTGTTGGTGATAAGGCATGTCTGAGAACTGTACAAAGAAGAATAAATTATACAGTTACCAGGTAGGACATCTTGGATATTCCTAAGTCTATTTCTGTCTCATGGTAGTAGCTTAGTGGATAAACTAGTTGTCCTTATAGACAAAAAAATAAAATTTTGAGGTACTGCTACAGACATGAGTCTGAAGTGCAGTTTGAGATGGTTTGGTTCAGTTATGTTTTTGTTCAACACCATTGTGTTTTATATGAAGTTTTATTTCTTTGGACATGCTTTTTATCTTCTCAGACAAGAGAACTTTCATAGTCTACAATACCATCGATTCTCAGGCAGTATCCAATCATAATGGAAAAAAATTGGGAGGTTATCCCACTGTACAGCCATTGAAACCTCATAACTATTGCACAGGACCTCATGAATTGAATGAAGAAAATGAACTTCCTTCTGTACATAAAATAATATGTTTATAAGAAAAGGAAGATGTTATTCCTTTTTTCTTTTTAGAAATGAATATTCTTATTTAACTACAGCATAGGCATAACTTTTTTTTTTTTTTTTCCCCAAAAAGGGATGTAATATATTTAAATCAGCTTCCAAATAATATAAACTAATAAAATAGTAATTATTCTTTTATCTCCTCCTAAATATATGTATGTATTTACATAAGATGCTTCTCTAGAGCAATTAGAAAGTAGTCTTTTACAAAACTGTTTCAGGCAGTGTAGAGGCTTCATGGTTCATTTACTAAAACCAGAGCACAAATCCAATTGTCTTAAAGGAAAATAAATTGCAGGAGAACTTCTGATAATCTTTTTTAATGGAAATTTGTGAAAATGAATCAGATTTCTAGCTGTGAGAGAGAGATTATGGTTATTTTGTTTTTAGTACATGCTAGATTATGAAATATTTGTTAAAATACACCATTTACCTTCTTTTTTAAGCTTTATCTCTTCAAGGTTTTCAGAATTTAACAGAATTGTGTTCCTAATCTCCTGTAAAACTGTAAAAGTAAGTTATATTGATCGTGCAAAATTAACAGAACTACATTAATAAATTCACTACTAAGAACGTTAATAAGAACATAAAAGAAATGAACAAACACATTTTAAAAACAACAAAATAGATTATGAACAATACAGAAAGTGCTAGTTTCATGCCATCAGCAGAGAAAAGTTTATTTTTGCTGCAAAAAGTGTATTTAGAATAATGCAGAGTTCATTGAAATCAAAGGAATCAAAGCATATGCTTAAAATTGAGCATGCTTAAAATTGAGCTTCAGGGCTACTTAAGAGGGGAGACTGAAAAAGATAAAATAAAAGACTGAAAAAGTTTAAAGAGAAACTGCTTCATTATATATAACAACAATAACAACAACAAATTCAATTTAAACACTAACAAAGAAAGACAAATTTTAATTACTAATATGTATGTGAAATACTAAAAATTGAAAGAAAAAAAAGCAAAAAACCATGACAATGTCCAACAGAATACACGTATCACCAAATGCTATACAGAGAAAAAAAGGTACTGTTTCTTTTTGTCCAAAGGAGTTCTGATCATAGGATCATGTTCAGTATCCACCATTAATTCCCTATTTTACAAAGAATCATAGAATCCTTAGAGTTGGAAGGAATCTATAACGTTAAATCTCCTCCTCTACTCTGCCCTGGTAGGGCCTCATCTGTGTCCAGTTCTGGGCTCTCTAGTACAAAAAAGACAGGGATCTCTTGGAAAGAGTCCAGCGGAGGGCCACGAAGATGCTGAAGGGCCTGGAGCATCTCCCTTATGAAGAAAGGCTGAGTGAACTGGGTCTGTTCAGCCTTGAGAAAAGGAGACTGAGAGGGGACCTGATCCAGGTCTATAAATATCTAAGGTGTGGGGGGCAGAATGGCGAGGCCGGACTCTTTTCAGTGGTGAGTGGAGACAGGACAAGGGGAAACGGCCGGAAACTGCAGCATAGGAAGTTCTGCACAAACATGCGCAAGAACTTCTTTACAGTGAGGTGACGGAGCACTGGAACAGGCTGCACAGGGAGGTGGTGGAGTCTCCTTCTCTGGAGATGTTCAAGACATTCCTGGACACCTACTTGTATGACCTGCTGTAGGAAACCTGCTTTGGCAATTGTACTCGATGATCTCTGGAGGTCCCTTCCAACCTCTACGATTCTGTGATTCTGTGATTCTGTCATCTAGTCCAACTCCCCTGCAGTGAACAGAGACACCACAGCTAGATCAGGTTGCCCAGGGCCTGATCCAGTCTCACCTTGAGAGTTTCCAGGGACTGGGTATCAACCACATCTCTGAGTAATCTATTCCAGTGCCTCACTATCCTCACTGTGAAAGACTTTTCTCTTATATCTGACCTAACTCTATTCTCTTTAAGCATGACACTGTTGCCACTCTTGCACAAATTACCTGGACTAGACACTGAATGCTGTTATCTTCTACAGAATGTATTTCATGACTAGGCAATGTTCAGAATGCCTGGAGCAAATAAGGCTTACAGAAGGCTTGCTGTATCTCTAATCTAGTTATGTGATGTAAACTTAACTGATGAATCTGGCCCTTAATTTTACATCAATTATATTAGAAAAAGTAGAGGCATTTAGTGGCACTTTGCAAAAAAAAGCTGTAATAGTCAGTGATCCTAATATATATATATTTTTTCCGTATACTAATCCTATTATGACTGACATGATAAAGATCCTAATTTTTAATTTCTCACAACTTTCTCACAACTATTATGCAAGTTGTAATTAAATTGCTACTATCTGTACGTCAAAGATTGAAGCAGAGTATATGGCTTCACCAAATATTTTCAAGGCTCACAGATACCGTGGATTTCTTAAAATAATTTCTTAAAATATTCTACAAAAGGTGGTAATAGTAATATACTTAGCTTAGAACACACTTTTAAACAAAATAACTTAATTGTAAGCCTATAATCAACATTTGCCACATGCCTTCAATTGCTGGGAAAAATAAAAAAATAAAAAAATTCTGTCTTCATAAAATCCAAACATCAGAGTTAGATCAGGGTTGATCATTCATTGAAGTAATTACTTACTAGCATAATAATTTATAAGTAATTGCTATCAATTTCTTTTCTTTTTTTTTTTTTCAAAATAACAGTTTTAAACTCACATTATCCAATAGTGAGATGGTACAATATTTGCAGCCCATCTCAGATCCATCCTGACTGCAATCAACTACAACTTTGAAGACATAAATATCCTTACTTTTTAACTGTAGGATCTTTGTTTTGTGTGTGTGTGTGTGTGTGTGTGTGTGTGTGTGTGTGTGTGTGTGTGTGACATATACTGTATGAACTATGACTGAATGCTTCCAGTTCTTCCTACATTTTTACCATTCTTCCTGCTAGGTTCAGTTGTCAAATGAAATTGTCGGAAAGGTTTTTGTTTTTATTGAATGCTTCTATTGTTAGGACTCATAGAGTTCTTGTGGGGAATTTTATATATTAACATTTTCTTATTATTATTGCTGTTTTCTTATCTATACATTGTCTATTAAGTGTTGTTGCTGTTTTATTTTAAACTAAATTTTATGCCACAAATAAACTTTTCAGAGAGTTTTGATCTTTCTAGTGGATGTGAATTTTAGGTATTTTAAATGTACCCTTTAACTTGTTCTTTTATTTAAATGTTATTGAGATCTTGATTTTAAAATTCATTTTCCTTTCCTGTTGCCCAGAAAATATATGATCTATATTCATTTACTGTTTAATGGTTTAATACATATATTTACATAGTAACTCCCTTAGATTCATATACTCTGCCAGTGCCCAAAGGAACTGAATTGCAAGCACTTCTCAATGCCAGAAACTATCCTTTCTTCTCATTCACCACCTCTTCTTCTCCTCTGGAATAAAATGAAGTTAAACAAAAACTTTCTTTGGATAAACAGTAGATCATGTTTAAATTACTCATAAAACTGTTGCTAATTTCATTGGACTCAGAATTTTATATTTGTTTCCTGTCATTCTATTTTTATGTAAGTGTTCCAAAGTCAGCAGAAATCAATGTAAAGATTCCCATTGGCATCATTTGGATCACAAAGCTCAATACTGTTTTCTAAATGCCTTTTAATGTTTTATTTGGATCTTATCCTAGGAAACGTATGGAGTAGATAACCTATCTTCATGTATAAGTACTGAAGTTTGCATCCTAAACCTTAGGTTATGGGATTATTTAGCTTAAAATTTGAAGTGACTGCAAGCTAAACATAATAAAAAGCTTAAGAACTTGGTACCTGCTGAACAACATACACCAGCTTGATATTTAGGGGAAGAAGAAAATTATACTGTTCTCAGAAGGACAATTGTGGTTTTTAAAACAGAGGGAATCCAAGTACCCACACTAGATTTGGGCAGATCATTTGACGATTTACACTGTCTGTTACTCAAGCACCATGGGGCTTTTAACAATAAAAAGTTGTCACAAGCTGGCTTTTATGTGTCTCTGAAAACAAACAGTCTGGCCTTGTTAGCTTTGCATAATAAAGATCTTAAAAGTGAATATTTATTTAGAAACATATTCAACTTTAATTTTCAGAGACCTGGGATGAAGAAGTGGCAGTTTCTCTCCCGGATTTGTTGAAGGTTATTTCTGCTCCTACATGCACTGCTGAGATTAAATCTACATCAATTTTGGACTTATATCTTAAGTAACATTTTGTGATAGTGTTACTAATGCTCCACTGATGTGCGTTTGTGGTTATTTAGTTTTATCTCAGTGTTTTTCATATTCAACATATATGTAATTCAGTCACCAAGTGGTTCAACCCACCTAATCTTTAATGTAAATGCTTCTCCTTCTCCCTAGAATAACAATATTTTCTTGAAAAGGCTTCAACAAAATTTCCACCTACTTCTGTCTTCAAGCCCCTGGGAGCTCTGTGCCCACAAGGATTTCCTACAGAAGTAAAATACATATCCAAGCATACAGAATTTTTGAAACTCCTTAACTGGAACCTCTTATATATTCATTTTCTAAAAAATTCTAAATATGATGGAAGTGCTGTATCACTAGCAGGAAATAGAAATGAAAGTGACAAGAATTCCATGAATTTAATGAAATGCAAAATGTTAGGGTGAATTCTGAGAGTGTTTTCATTAATAGAGTCTGATGATTATACATTGTTAATGTGGCAGAATGGGTGCAGAGTTGAAGATCAAATACAGCAGATGACATTTCACTGTAAAACTGACTGAAGCAAGGTGCTCACTCATATCCTTTATGCTACGTGGGAGTTTTTCTCTGCTGAAAGAGGTAAATTCTGCAATGGAGACAAAAAAAAAAATATATATTTTTATATATATATTTTATATATATTTATATATTATATATATATTTTATATATATATATATATATATTCAATTCAACCATTAAATTTTACAGGTGCTTTATCAGCTAGTAAAACAGAAACTCTAGGTAGCACTTCAAAAAGAAGCCAGACAAGCACATATATTCACATGGAATTTCTTCACCAAGTGCACCTGAGAATTAACTGATGTATTTTCCGTTGCGCAGAACTCAGTATCTCATAGATTCTTTGGCACCTTTATTTCAATGCATGTTTTCTCCATTTTTTTCTACTTCTTTGTTCATTTATTTTTTATTTTCTCCTCTTTCTTCCTAAAGTGGATGATCTCTCTCGCAATAGTCAAAACAGAACTGCGAAGAATTGCTCACATTCATAGCTGCTGTTTTCATTTCAGATCCAAAGAGGTGATTTGGGCCTGTTCTGCTTGCATTTTAGTTGAGACTTCCTTATGTGTTCATAGAACCATAAAGGAGAAGAAAACTGATTGAATGCCCAACACTGTGATGATAATGTCTAGTTCTAAGTCCGTAACTTCCTATAAGTTCCTAAATGTGTCAAATTTCTATAATTAGCTTCTTCGATTTTTTGTTAGTAGTTTCAAATATGGATACAGTCTGTGTGTACTAGAATAAAAATATGTTTTTCTTTCTCAGCTCTGTGGGTAGCAGATACAAATGAGTATGACACTTCTAGTACTTCCTAGGTAAACACATAGAATTCCTGTTGCGTGTAAAAGAATTTATATGTTTATTGAAAAATGAACAAAAGTCCTTGTAAGATAAAAGTGTGACATTATTTCCTACTTCTTTCTTTTTTTTGATCTATTGTTTTATGCTATGAATCAATCAAGAATTTTTTTTTTATGCTAAATATTTCAGTGTAAATGTTGTGATCTTCACCAGATCAACCAGTAACAGAATAGGGTTTAGAGGAGGCATAAGGAGTCTCATTGTGGCTCTTTGGAAACAACAAATTACCTGTTTGGAATTACTGAATTGAAGGGATTGGAAGGGACCTCAAGAGATAATTGAACCCAGCTGCCCTGCCAAAACAGATGCATTACAGTAGTTCACACAGGTAGGTGTGCAGACAGGTCTTTAATATCTCCAAAGAAGGAGACTCCACAACCACTCTGGGCAACCTGTTCCAGTGCTCCATCATCCTTACCATAAAGAAGTTATTCCACATATTTGCACTGAACTCTCTAGGTTCAATTTTTAGACCATTACTCCTTGTCCTATTGGTACACACCAGTGAGAAGAGCCTGGCCTCATCCATTTGCTTCCCACCTCCCTTTAGATCAGCTTGGTTTCTCTGATATTTATTTCCTACTGCATTTGCAAATAGTATCTTGTTTTGAATACTAGTAAAAATACTTAATCAGAAATCTTTACTGATATTTACAATTATTTTCCTCTGTAATACAGAGCTGATACCATTTACTTATTAGCTGCTTGAAATGTGATTCCTAGCAAATAATTGACCATTTGGAGCTTTTTCCAGATTCCACAGAAAGGTTTGCAAATGTTAAAGAATTCTTGATTTATCTTTTAAAATTAATCACTACAATATTTCATGTAAGAGTTTAATCAAATATTTTGAAGTATGTGACAGTCCTTGATGAAGGTTAAAATATCTGTCTAGTTATCATAATTCCTTATTGATTATATATGTCCTTTTTAAC